CCTGCCATGGGCAGGGACACCTTCCACTAGACCAGGTTGCTCCAAGCCTCATCCAGCCTGGCCTTGGACACTTCCAGGGATGGGGCATCCACAGCTTCTCTGGGCAACCTGTTCCAGCGCCTCCCCACCCTCTCCAGGAAGAACTTCTTCCTGATATCCAATCTAAACCTCCCTGATTTCAATTTGTACCCATTACCCCTTGTCCTATCACTACAGGCTCTTGTAAAAAGTCCTCTCCCAGCACCCTTGTAGCTCCTTCAGATACTGGAAAGCTGCAATGAGGTCTCCTCGGAGCCTCCTCTTCTCCAGGCTGAACAAGGAAGGTGTGGTCCGTCAGCTGCGTGTCGCACGTGGGCGGCTGCTCCGGTGTGGACGTTCATGTCCCAGTTTGCTGCTGAGTGCAGGACCCTGCGGTGAGCGGGTTTCTTGGCTGAGGGAATCCTCCGGTAGGAGCTTTAAACCAAGGTTTCACAGTGAACACCGTAGATTGTAAATATGTCTGTAAAGAGTTGTGGTGATCTCTAATTGAAGAACTAACAATTGGCAAGGCATTTTGGGCAAGGGGATGGGTGAGAAACTTTTATAAAGGCAAAAAAAAAAAAATCTGTTTCTCGTAAGTGCTAATCTTGGAGTTGAGGCTGTCTTCATGTCACTCTCACAGAGGTAATGCGTGTCTCACCCCGGGCCTGTTTCCTGGCTCTCTCCAGGAACGAAATCCCCCCCCGCGGGTGGGGATGCCGCTGGGGAGGTGCCCGGTGCGGTTTGCGGGGAGCTGCTGCCCTCTGCTGGGTACCGGGTACACCCCCTGTTCCGGGGCCGGGTAGCCACAAAACCCCTGCTAAGAGAGAACTGGGCTGTTTATTTGCAATCATTCACACCCCCCTACAGTATTTTTTAATATGTGCCTGGAGGAGAACTGTTAAATTGAAATCTAATTGCAGTGAGTAATAGTTTTGGTTACAGCTTCCACACGGGTAAATAGTAGACACAACTTGTAATTGAAGATCGCTAAATACAAACGTAACCCTTTGAACAAACTGTTCCTCTGCTGTGAGTAGGATTTAAAAGCATGTGTATCAGCATTGGAGAGAACTGTTTAAAGTTGTCATTAGTATGACATTGGCTGGTTAGAAGTTAGCATAAAGGTGAATGTAACTTGTTTGCCTGAAGAATTATTGGGGAAAATTATCTGGATCATGAGGGACAAGCCACTGTGCGTCTGTATATCCTACATTCCACTGAGAAATCAGTTGAAAAATGCTGAAACTCCGCATTTATTGAGACAAATATGGCCAAAAATTGTAAAATCTTAATTTTAGAGGAAAACTAACTGAAACTGGAAATTGCATGTTTATGCTTTGTCACAAGACTAGGAGAACTTGAAGGCCTCAATAACGATTCCAGCAAGTTGTAGGTGTTTGTGTCACGTAAGAAGTGACCGATGTCCAGCTGAACACGCAAGCTCCGTGTAGCTATGTCACCGCAGGATTTAGCGTAAGCTCTTGTGCAGTTGTCTATGGGCCTGTTCTGGCTAATGTGGGTAACACCTACGTGAAAAGGCTAAACACAGCACTAAACCAAGTCTAAAATAAGAAAAAACCCCACAATTAGTTACCTTAACTCAGTTTTCTGTTTTTCCTTTAGAGGCTTTTAGTTCTGACTTCTGCATTTATAAAATCATGCTTTGTGCGTAGGTTTGTCCACTTTCTGCTGTTTCTGATGCCTTGAATGGTCAGCCAAGAGACTCAGAAATCGAGTCACCTCATGTTATTTTCTAAGAGTTAGGGACTAAATTGATTAAAAGGAAGCCGAATTCATGCGATGTTGAAGAATAAAGTTATAATGTATCTCCCAAAGACAAAATGCCTTTTAGTTGCATAGGTACTGAAAATCTTCACATTAACACCTCCTCAGAGTTAATTACCCCATCGTAGGATACTGTTATTTGAGTGTTTAACAGAAAGCATCCCAGGGCGTGGTCCATCAGTGTGAAACCTTCAGTTCCACTACGGAGAGGAAAAGACACATCCTGTCTGAGATAGGCCCACAAGGTTGCGTGGTCATGCTCACAAGGTCCACACTAGAACTGACTTTAGAGGTTAAATTTAACCATGCTGTAAACTTAATGAATTTTCCTCTGTGTGAGAGAGAAACCGAAGCAGGCCTGAACACTGTACTTAACAGATCCCAAATCTGGAGCTTCTGTCCAATGAACTCAAATTGACCCATGGGATATGTACTATTGATAAAATGGATTCTTTTGTTGTCATTTATTTGTGTTTTGAACGTGTAAGCTTTGTCTAGGCATTAATCAAAAGGTGAGTTTGAACACGGCATGGTGGCCAGGGTCTATCTGCAGTTGGCCCTTCTCTTCCATGCATGCAGGAATCAGGGGTGGTTATACCAGGTTTATGAACTTCAACTTTTATGGAAAGTAGTTGTTTCCTTTGGCCACATTAAAAGACCACACAGCTTAACAGACTTAGTTGTAGAGTAATTCTGAAAGGTGGGGAACTACACCCTACTGGGAACAGTGAGCAACCATTTTTAGATTATGGTAAGATAGCTTGTGTATTATACTGATGGGAGAAGTTTGTGTCGTGTTTGTAAGAGCACACGGGATAAAAAAAGGGAGAAATCAGTCACTGTAAGCACTTTAAATCTAGCAGATGGTGAAGTTTGACTTGCAACAATGCCTTTTAAAAGAAAAATAAATGAGGGGGGCATAGAAATGTATGAAAACATACTGTTGAACTTAGTAACACCCTACAACATAGGCTTGTTAAGGCAACGCAGTTAAATGGAAATGCCCTAAATATGTAAGCAGGATGTGAACAACCAACACCAAAAAGTCCTGTTTTACTGCAGAAAAAAACCCTACCACTAAGTCTCCTGTAGATTCTACAGCAATCAACAGCACTCAGCCCAGGCTTTTAGTCACACAGGAGCTTTATGCGTTTTGTTAGGGAACTTGATTTGGGAACGTACTCGCTGCTAGTGAATCTGTAGGATGAGAGACTGACTACACTCACTTCTCAGAGACTTACCAGAGGCGGAGAAACACAGTTCTAATAATGGGATGCTCAAGGCAACGTAAGCTACTGGTAGACTTGTATTTGGCTCCAGTGAGTCCAAAGTCTCACTGTGGACTGAAGTGACGAGCTACAACCATCAAACAGTTGAAGCCTGTGAAGTTTATTAGCAGTGGGTAATGCTGACTCTGGTCTAATTTAAAAAATAGTAAATACACAAAAATTACATGATCAGATAAGAATTTTCCCTCTCGCTTTCATGGAGGTATATATTTATATTATTTTCATCTCTTCAAAAGGTTGCTTAAGAGATGAAACTGTTCCAAACACAGACCAAGCACACAAGATTAATTGCTGTGTCAGGATAAGCATGCTCAGTAGTCAACGAAGTAAAATGTATTAAATGCAAATGGCATTTAAGGGAAGCCACAGCTATTACTCATGTGTGGTGCTGCTATCTGGAACAGGGCATAAAGAGCGTGCTGCTCTCCCTACAAACTCGCATGGTGGTTCTTGTGATAAATGTGGCTGGAATCCAAGGCCAAGAAGAGAGACAGCCATTGGAAGAACAGCCAATGTCCTGATAAAAAAAAAAAAAAGTCTATATTTTCGTAGCAGGTTTAATAAAAACGTAGTCTAAGTTGATGCTAACACTTTGCTGGAGCCAGCAGGTGTCAGTAGGACCCAATGCATGAGTTTGGCTTTTAGCGATGAAACCTTCGTGACACGTAGTGGGAAAGAAAATACTCCAAACAAATAGCAAGATTATACTGTATTTAATAAAGTCTTCACAAGTCAATAGTTAACAGTGAATGTAATCTAGTAAACAAGCAGATTGTCCAGTCTGTCACAGAAATAGGAAATTTATCCATAACACAAGAAAAATACTGAGGAGTAATACCTAATGTAAGATTTCACTTTAAAATCTTTTCCATAAATATTGTTATACTGTAAAATTTTCATGTTCTGTAGATACCCTGCACCAAGTAACCATAATCTCAGTTCAGCAGTGGGGTTGGTGTGGTGGTGGTGGTGGTGTGTTGTGGGTGTGGTTTTGGTTTTCTTTGCAGCAGTCTGAATATTCATAGTTTGGGGAGAGACACTCAAATTCACTTCAGCTGCATGTAAGTGTTTACCTTAAAACCAAGCAAAACTGAAAAAGGGGAGAGGGCTGTTAAAGTACCAGTCCAATGTCCAGACTGGTAACAAATACAGCAAGTTTTTTGTTGGTATCGGCCTAACACAATTCGGTACCACAATAAAATACTTTTAATGTATTTTTCAATGCCCTGACAGGTTAATAACACTTCAGTAGTGAGGCTTGAATTCACAATGAAAACTTTATCTCAAATCCCTGTAACTTGGATGGGATCTGAACTGCTAAATGCCTTTGAATCCATTTAAGTGAAAAGGATTGGATTTATCAGATGTAGCCAGGATAAACTACAGAAGATACAGCGTTCACTAATACTGGAGAGAGCTTCACTACTATTGCATGTAAATTCACTGAACTTTCACTGTTTCATATAAAACAGATTCAAAACCATGAGATACTGAACTAGAGAAGGAAAAATGAGGGATACATGGAGATGGTACACTACAAAACAGTGTATGAAATGACAGTGAGTCACTCAGTATGTCACACGAAAAATTTAGAAACTTATACCTAAATACAGTCAAAGACTGTTCAAATCAGAACTTACTTGGATGGCTAACAAGACTGAGTACAAGGTAAACTCAAGTATGAAAAGACAGTAGTATGATTAAGAATATTCCCATAATCATACTGAAAATGAATGTGAAAGCACGTTAATGATGTGGATCATGATAAATTCCAATGGTAAACTGGAATCCAATTGATCCAATTTATCCATGATAAATTCATGTGGATCATGACAAATTCCAATCCACTAAACCACAAAACTATGAATGTGCTGTGTTTAATCAACACCTGGAATATATACTCGGGTGCATATACACTAACCAGCATGCTTATTTTTAATTATTTCTCCTCCTTCTATCTCAATTTGCTCATACAGCCACTTGCGGTCACAGCGACACTCAACTCCACACTTGCTGGAGCTACACTTGGGGCAAGCATAGAAACATCCCAGGCAGTCTTCATCCAGACAATCACAGAGATCCATCCCACTGTACAGCAGGAGTCCCTGGCTATCGTAGACTTTACTCTTGGCTGGTATAACTTGCCTGTATAATGAAAACCAACAGTTATTTCCATGTTTAAAAATTAACCTATTTTGATGCCAAGCTGCCAACAGTTGTGGACATAAGTTTTCTTAGTTCAGGTGTTGATTTAACACCGTTGATTTAAAAGGTGTACATATGTCACTGTACTTGACAGTATTTCTCAGTCCTAACTGCATCGCCACTATAGGGCTTCTGAAATAACGGGAAATTTTATTGTTTCAATAGCACATATATTCAAACACTTAGGTGTATTCTTACCTATATGATGTAAACCTCAGATTACCTTTCAGACGACGTGAAATACTCCCTAACTTATTTTTCTTTTGTAACACATAGCTGTAATTCAAAGGAGGACATGTAGAATCATTTAGGGTGAGCACATCCTAAGTTAAAAGTATCCTCTATGCTTTCATCATTACCCATCTCCCTAACAGTTCTGTTAAACTGCAGAATCACAGAAAAACTGTTTGGAAGGTGCTTCTGGAAGTCATCTTGTTTAACCCTCTGTTCAAAGCCAGGTCAACTCCAAATTCAGTTGCTTAGGGCTGTATCTAATGGAGTACTGAATAGCTCTGATGTCAGACGCTTTTACTTTTGTAAAAAGTAAATTTACTAATTTACTTTTACTCCAGTGTTTTACTACACACACACACAAAAAGTTATCTTTCCATCTCATCAACATCTTCCTGGTTGCAACTTTGCCCAAACTGAGCAGAAGAAACAAATGGAGAGCAAAAGGATGTGTGGTTTGTGAACAGCACATCTAGTGTCCATTTCTGTCTTGTAGAGTAAAACTTAGGTGTAGAGCAGGGGAAAGGTATTAATGTGTTTTTCTTGCACGTTTTAACTGATACAGTGTGACTAGTTAAGGCTGGGGCTTCCATCGCTCTCCTGTTAGGACAAGACTGAATTGGTCCAAACTTCTAGTGGAAAATGACAGACAAAATTCAGCTGCACATACTTGTCCTCTGCAGAAAGTGTGGTTTTGAAATCAGCCACGTTAGAAGGTTGTGATTTTTTTTATCTAGTATTGTCCAACTTGGATACTATCTCCTTTTAAAACAGCAGGTTAAGGTCCTAACTTACACCCTTCAATAAACAAAGTATAATTACAGAGTTTATTGAAAGAGAACTCTAATATTTTAAATGTAGTCTACATGATCTTAATGTAGTCAAATTTAGCCTATTATCAGAATTTTAGTTTATGCATAAATTATTAGCTTCATCTATGATCTGTGTAGTATTGTCATACATTAGTAAATAGAATTAGAGGATGGTTTGGTTTGGAAGGGACCTCAAGGACCATCTAGTTCCAAACCCCCTGCCTTGGGCAGGGACACCTTCCACTAGACCAGGTTGCTCCAAGCCTCATCCAGCCTGGCCTTGGACACTTCCAGGGATGGGGCATCCACAGCTTCTCTGGGCAACCTGTCCCAGTGCCTCACCACCCTCTCCAGGAAGAACTTCTTGTTTGCGTTCTAATTGCCTGAAATATGGCCTGCCTGCTAACACTTTAAACAAAACAGAAGATAATATGAACTTTAACGTCCTTAAAGCAATCCATAAACATGAAACTATCCATATGAAAAATGTAGTGTTACAGGGACACTGACCATAAGGGCTATTTTATTTTGAAGTGAAAGTTAAAACCAATGTAAATACAGAAAACAGCTCACCTGTCTGAATTAAACGTGGTTTTTGTTTGCAGCCTTCTTTTTTCCCTTTTACTGGTCTCAGGGGTGAATTCGGTCTGTCGTCCTGGATTAGTAAATTGTAGAGACTTTAAAGCCTTAGCTGTACGTCCCTGAACAAAGACAGTGAATCTCATTTAATTAAAAATGCAAACCTAAATTCCTAAGAGAATGTCTATGCAAGCCAGGATAGTGTAATAACCTTGATAAATTGTTGATGTCAACTCTAAGCACTGCATTTCCCAGAAGAAACAACTTAAATATTAAAATTTTTATACTGGAAAACCATACCAGTCTCAAAACCCAACAGTACAATCTTTACAGTAGGCATTTTAACCAATGCCTTAAAATTTCACCCCCTATCAGTCTCCTAACCATACTGACATGTAATTGAAAGACACAGTTGGGCAACAGCTGCTAAAAGGCAACTCTGCTTTGCTACAGGGCATACATGGATGAGCTCTTGCCGATTTGGTTGCCCACACTTGCAGTGATTACCTGCATACAGCCCGAACAACGTACCCAATAACGTGTAAGCTGCATTTCAAACTCAGCACCCCAAGTGTTATCCTCCTACTGCCCCCAAAGCACACCATGGCCTTCACAGCTCAGCCACCACGAGTACACTTAATTCACCTCAATGCATGTTCAGTTCGTAACAAACTGCTGGAGAGAGTGGATTTTTTTATTTTTCAGCTGAAGAAACAAACCCAGAAGTTTATCTCAACATCCTTAGGAGCAACCTTTGCAGTGTTTTAAGCTCACATTTTTTTCTAAGGCTCGAGTAACAGCTTAAAATACCAGCAGCAGCCTGGTACTTACATAAACTTACAAAGTGTAAGTCACCCTAGGACACACAACCATTTGGATTTAAAAGGCCATAATATTTAATCAGGGAAGAGGATTTTTTTAAGGTCCTCCAAATAAAGGCTTAAATGAATGAACTCCCACACGTGTAAAAGACTATACCCTTTTGTATTTCTGTTAAAGAACTTAATTTATGTAGGACTTGTATGAAGCCCAGTCCAGCAGCTTGCAGAACCTGGAGGGGGGTGGTGGCGGAAAAACTGATCCGTATACATACGTCCGAATCGAGTTTTCTTCTTTGCCTTTCTTCGGCTTCAACATCCACGCTTCCATTTATTATCTGCATACATTTGGGACAAAGCTTCCAGCCAGGTACAAACTGTCTTCCGAACTTGGCACTTAGAAAAGTTGCGTCGTCTAAGTCAATCGCACGCAAGTTTTTCTTCGACAGTTTTCTGTGTATGTTAAAGGGGTCGCAACAGGATTTCTGTAAGTCTTCAAATCTTTCAATGTAAATTTTTACATGGTGGAAGCAGATCGTATTATTCTCTGAAAGAGTTATTCCAGTCCTAAGCTGAAGTAACAGTAGATCAGATGAAGACAGGTCTTGCTTAGTCTTAAAGCCAGTGTGCCGGGTGTAATAGGTCTTATGGCATTCATTGGTAGCTTGAAGCTGAACTCCAACGGAACAAGGATCCATTTTATTTTATCAGAACAACTTATTTCACTTATTTTGCCTAAAATAAGTTACTTGAAGTCTTTAGGAGTTTCTATGAAGATCAGCCTAGAAAAAACATTAACATAAATCAGATTTGTGCTGCAAACTTCTAGCTGTAAGCCTGACAAATCAGGTTTGAATTATTTAAAAAACATGTAAAGAAATTATAGTCTTATAGTCTAGATGAGACTAAAAATACACTGAATTCTGGAATTAAACCATGCATCTCATATTCCTTTCAGAGGCATTTTTTTTCCAGCTACAGTAAGTATAAGATGAAAATGTTTAGTAGCATTACTTCCTCAAAAGCAAACTGGGAGCAAGGTATGAGGAGGATGCAGCCTGCTCTGGTCATCACTTGTAAAGATGGCCCACAGGAAGAGACTGCTGATGGCTGAACAATTCACCCTTCCTGTTTCCAAGCAGTTTCTAGGAAAAAAAGCTGCTGAAGGTAGGCTGCACGGGCTGTCTGATGTCAGCAATTCACATCCAACAACGCTTTGCTTTGTGTTCTTCCCACGTATGCCAGGTGCAAGTCAGCACACACAAACAACCTGAGCCTTCTCAGGAAACAGCCTGTGGTACACACAAAGATTGGTGGTTCTAGATGTGTGCAGTTGTCATCATGTGGCCTTTGCATGCAGCGCTCTCCAACTCTCGTTGCCATGCCTGTTTGACGTAAATATTGGGGCAGTTATTTAAAGTTAAACACAGTTACCAAATACAAAGCAAGCTGCTGCAGTGGTCTCGTACCCATGCCATCAGTAGTTTTGCAAGAAACTTTGGCCCTAAAACATCAGAGCCTCAACCTATCTTTTACTATATTCTACTGCAACATAAAGGACAAATTTCTACCAAAAGTGATTAATTTGCTTTCAAAAACTCTGAGAACCTTAATTACAATGAATACAACCTAACTGGGATCTTAATGTTCACGGAGTTCATTTCCTTCACAGTAGCTAGTATGAGGCTATGCTTTGGATTTGTGCGAGGCTACGTTCCGAATTTCTGCTGAGAAGAATATGGATAATGCTGGTGGTTTTAGTTGTTGCTAAGGAGCGTTTGCACCAAGGCAAGGGCTTTTTCAGCTTCTGATACTGCACCTGGGTTCCCAACCTCTTCGCTACAAGCAGTGGGGAGGGGACACAGCCCAGTCTGTTCAAATGACACTGTTACGTGTATCATCCCCTTGATTTGTAATAATTCTTGGTAGAAGCTTCAGAGGCATTTCTTCCCTCCTCTCCTCAGGAGGAGCTTTTTGCCTTTGAAATCCCTTTGCTGGAAACAGGAGAGCGCTTCAGCAACCAGGTACTGAAATGAAGGCCTGTATTCACACTTGTGAAGTATCAGTTAAGTGGTTACTGAACCAAACACATTAAACTACAGCAGAAGAGAGTGATCAGGATCAGCACAGTGAAGCACTTGTGCAAAAGAAGCCTGCCACAGTAGCAGAGATTCAACAAGGTGAATTCTTAACTCCTTTCTGCAGGTAGAAACAAAGGATGGAGGAAACTACAACTTAGACTGGCAGCCCTGAGATATAAGAAGCCGAAGCGAAAGGACAGTAATGAAATAAAAAATGTGAGCCCGTATCTATACATTATGCTAGATGCTCAGCAACTGCACAGCACGGCAGGCCCTCATCCCAACGGCAAGAGCCCCGAGCCAGGGCGGCGTGTTGAGAACCGGGCGTTAGCCCA